CTGAATTCCTATATCATATTTATGATTTTTCTTTTAAATTCTGTGTCCTGGGTTATCTCTAGGAGGTTCTCCTTGTAGAACTCTTGTACAGAACTGGTAGAGTTTGATGGAGACATAATATTTTGTTTTGTTGTGATTTTTGGCATGTGAATTTCTTTTGTTGTTTACAATTCTGATATGAGAATTAAGTTAAAGTATGCTCTGTTTGTATTATTGGTGGGCCGGGGTCCTTTCCTTATTGGTTATGTAAAGCTGGTGGGTACAGGTTTCAGGTTCTCTCAGGTTTTATTTTGGAAGGAAATGATGGCTTCAGATCAGCTATTCAGGAGCACCCACAGAAGCCCAAGTCAGGTTCCAGTCAGGTACACTACTCAGGCTTCCTGCTAAGGTTTGGACCCCTATTAGCAGGAACTCAGAGCAAAATTTGGGAAGTTCCCTAAGGTGGGGAGGGGGCGATTTTAGGACTCTCAGTTGGTCCCCTGCATTCTGAGCCCTATGCCAGAGGGAGGCCAGAACCGGCACTCTCTGGCAGTCTGCTGAGATCACAGTGGCTACACCTACACCGATGGAGGTCAGAACCCACCGTCTCAGGCTATCTGCTAGGATCTCAGCCTTAGCCTACCAAAGCTAGGTCTGCCCTGGGGCCTTGGGAGGGGCCTCATGAAATCCCAGGTAGGGGAATGGGTACAGGCTAGGGGAAGCTCACCATCACGTGGAGGCAGGATCCAGGCACTCTGAGACAGTCCCCTGCAGTTTTCAGGACCTATGCCAGAGGGAGGCCAGAACTGGCACTCTCTGGTGGTCTGCTGAGATCACAGCTACTGCACCAATGGAGGTCGGAACCCGTCCTCTCAGGCTGTCTGCTAGGATCATGATTATTATCCTTTAAGTAAACTGCCAATACTTTAATCAAAAAATGGTTGAGAATTTGATATTACATTTTCTCTCATTTTGTTTTGTTTTGTTTTTGAGATAGGGTGCCCCTGTAACCCCAGCTGGGCTGGAACTCACTTTGTAGACCACGCTGACCTCAATCTCACAGAGATCTTCCTGTCTCTGCCTCCAAAGTGCTGGGATTAAAGGTGTATACCACCACGCCCAGCCCTTCTTTTGCATTTTTCACATTATATATTGCTCAGTATGTATTTTAATATATATATCTGTATATATATATATATATATATATATATATAAAAAAAAATAATCTAAAAAATTTTTTTCGTGTGTATA